TTTAATCTCTCAAAATTGACCGCAGCTGTAAACGGAGATTGCAATGTTTGCACATATCATATTAAATTAAATTTAATTTCGTTTGGTGACCGCTAATTAGATGCGTTACAACTTGCTTGATATCCTGTGTTTGGTGGTCAGAGGAGTGAGTGAGAAAGGTAGAGGCGTGAGGAAGCGAGAGAGCTAATTAAGCGCGAATTTATGCAAACGCATGTTGTGCATACGCCTCGTTTGCCAAACTAGCAACTCACGCACACACACTCAAAAAACGTCGCCCTTACTCGTATATTATTCATGCTGCCCAATTATGCACAGCCCACAAAAGTAGGCAACATATTTTTACTCCCTCCCTTCGTTCTTCCGCATTTTTAATTTAGTGCCACCCACCAAAGCAACTCGGAGGCTGACCGCCTGTTTTTGCCATTAAGCTTTATTTATGAGCCTGCTGCCGGCCATCTCCATATATATATAAATCTGTTTGTGCGGCGGGCACTGAAAAATTTAATAAAAATTAGCCTCAACGCCTAATTGCGCACATAATTGCAGTGGAGCGTTTGCATTGTTTATGGCTAATGGGAAAAAACAAAAGCGATTGAATGATTTGCTGCCATATAATATGGAATTAAATTGGTATAATTAAATTGCGAGTGGAGCATGCAAATATAACGAGTCCCTATAGCACACGTATGTTAAGCTATGTATGTTTTTTTTTTTTTTTTTTTTGTGGCAGCCACTTGAACAAATCAAATAAGCACGCATTTCACTTACGGCACGTAACGGGAATTTGAGTGAAGAAACGTGAGCAGAGCCAGGAAATTAAGTAAATGAGAGGTGGGCACAGAAAAAGACACATAGAAAAGAAGAGTCCGAAAAGATACACAAGAATGATGGACAGGAAATTTATAGGGAAATACCCATACCCATTTGATTTCCTCTCAAATAACCTTGACCCATTATCTAAAGCTTGCCCCGAAAACTTTCTTTCAGCAGCTGGCCACCCTCCAATAATAAAAGGTAATAAGAAAACTACGCCATAAAATAATGAATATTACCGAAAGAGGAGCTCGAAAGTTCAATTAAGGTTCCAGCGGGTAACCTCGAAAGTACTAAAAACTAAGGCTAAATGCATTTGTACAACATTGTTGGGTAATAAAGTCAACTTAATTTCAACAAAGTGGCGAGGTGGTGGCGGTGGCGTTTAGGTAACGAGCAACTTTTGTGCTCTGCTTTTGTTTTCTTAATGAGTTGCGACGGCATCGGAACAGCAACAACATTAGCAACAAGCTGCAAACAACAATTTCATAAACTTAGCCGAAAAGCATTTGAGAACCAGACAAAGGCAGACAAGCGTAAGGAGGAGCGACATCCAGAGTGTAGTTGCATATGTTGCAAATCGCTATAACGTTCACGGTCTTACACAGCAAAATATATATTTTGTATAAACCCAATTAGTACCATATTTTAGTATTGCATTTAGAAAGCCGAATGTTACAAGCTATAATTTAAAACAGTAATATGTTCCGTTTATAGAAATCTATTCTTATATATTTTTTTTACTTTTGAATTTTCTTCTTATGCTTACGACTTTTAAGTTCTTGTTAGTTATAGTTGCACATAAAAAAAAAATTTTGACTATCAATTTAATTTACCAGTAAAGTAAAAAAAAAAGTATTATTAAATATACCAAAGTGATTCCCAAAGCATGGAGACCAAAACGATTATCATTTCTTTTTAATTATTATCTGTCATAGCACAACGAATATTAGTTGTAATTATTGCTGCTTGTGCACAAATTATAAAATGTATAGATTCAAGTACAGAAATATTTTGATGTTTTTAAAATTACTAACAATACTAATTTGCTATTTTTACCGTTTTTTTTTCTAATAGAAATTTTTTTCTAATCAAAACGTATAAAAGTATAATTTCTAATCAATTATTGTTTTTACTCAATTTTTATTCTAATTTGAGGGGTAAAATTAAATTTGGCAGTGTAGAGTTGCGGTTCGCGAATATAGGGGCAAGATGAAAGGAGGCAACAGCAGCAGCAGCACCAATGGCAACAATGGCAGAACAAACGACGCGTCGGATAACGGAAACGGAAGTTGCTTACAAGCTTAGTAAGACTCTAAGAGCGAGAGAGAGATAGAAAGGGCAGAACATACAATAGAACGGGACAGTCATATGACTGTGTCTTAATGGTTTAAGCTTTAAAATGTGCTGCATACTTTATGGCGTCTTTCATCGTTCTCCGAATTTTTGCTTATGAACTTGTGTCAAAGGCGAAAATGCAGCAGGAAAGAATAGAAAATGCAAATGATGCTTATTGAAAATGCTCTTTTCCGGTCACGAAATGTTTTAGGACCGTCATCTATAAATCATTGTAAGCCCATTACAATCTGCTGATTTTAGGTCGCCAACTTTTCAACCAACATTCAACAACATTTCCATAAAAATGTACCCACAACTTGATATCTGTGGCAGTTGGCATAAAACTTTACCACCACACCCTTTTCAGCCCAATCAACTGTAAGCAATATTTTAATGGTATTCCCGTGTGTGACTGTTTGTTTATTTGCCACAGTCCCCTGAACAAACTCTTAAATAGTTTGGGGTAGAAAAAATATTTACAAAATGTATTTATTATTATCATTGCAATGTTCAGTTGACGCTGCCATAAAAAATAATATTGGCGTTTGTTTATTTGCGGGCATCCCAGTGTGTCCGCATTTAATTAAGTTTTGTCGGTTTTCAAGTGTGTCTGCCGGCTCCTCTGTGCACGATTACGCTGATAAGTTTCATTTAACAAAAAACAGTTTGTTATGGCACAAATATTTTTTCAGGATTGCTTGTGTTTTGCATAAAATATTTATGGCATTAAATTGAGCGTTAGCGAACTTTTTTTAATGCGATTTTCGAGCCCGCCGTAAAGCCTGGAATTTATCGCTGTTTTCAGGTTTATGCACAAAGGAATTTTAAATATGTTCGGCAGAAAATAATTTTGGTGACGCACAGCTGATTGTAAAATATGAGAGACTAGTTTTAGTCCACTTATTAGAAAAGAATGAATTTTAATGTGCTCTAAAAAGGCAAAAATATATTAAATTGTTTGATTAAATCTCTATATTTTAGTGCTGACAAACCTGACGTTTTTTCCAGCGAAAATAACAAATCCAATATTAATGATTTAGCTTTCAGCCCCAGTTTTTCCTCTTAAAGTCAAAGACTTTTTTTCCCTAGAGTTCCAAGTAGTGCTTTATTGGTTCTAGTAATATATCTCAAAATATCCATTTGTTGCTGTCATGTGTCAAATAAATTAAAATACGGTTAACAATACTTCATATTTGATAAAATAATTGGTTAAATATTGGGATTAAATATGTTTTGGTTTAATATAGCTGTGTTATAGCTTCATTTTCAGCTCCTCCAACATGCGGTAGACCTTGACGAACTTCTTTTCGACCAACTCTGTGAAGGTCTTGATCTCATTTCGCACCACCGATAGCTCTATGGCAGCCTCCGATCCTCCAGATTCACACTTCTTGGACTGCTTATCGCTTTCGTACCAACAGGCAATGCCATCCACGTAATCGTCAACCAGTTCCGGCGCTGTTATATCCTCCATAAAGGATATATCCTTGCGTTTTACAAAAGAACTCATTAGAAGTTGAAGGAAATCGCAGTTCCAGTTGTTCTGCTGAAAGTAGAAGTACTGCAAGGCCTTCAAACTGTCGAAGATGGTGATCTTTAGGGAATATATAGAATTCCCCGATATGTCAAGCATTTGCAGATGACCCTGTTTCTTGAATAATCCCTCTGGTAACTCGTGGGCACCGGTTGCCGAAAGATTCAATCGCAGCAGAGAGGTGAATCTGCGCAAGGGATTTCCCTGAAGATTTCCCAATGGATTGTGCGACAAATCCAAAACGCTCACATTGGCGGCCAGTGGAATGTGTGGCATTTCCCTCAGCGAATTATTATGCAAATCGAGTTCATGACTCACTCCGTAAACGGTTAGTCTCCTCAAATCGCAACTATGAGCTATGACCACATCCAGCAAAGTAAAGTTGAGTGTTAGCTCCTGTAGGATATTTCCAGAAATATCCAGCTGAGTCAAAACCGGTTGCAGCTTCAACAGTTCCGATTCGAAGGCGGTAAATCGATTTTTGGCCAGATTTATTTTGGTGAGATTTAAATTCCGATCAAAGACTCCTCTTGGCAGAGCCTCCAAACGATTTCCAGCTAAATTTAGATCCATTAACTTCCGCATACCACTGAAAACTCCCAGCGCCAGCTGCTCCAATTGATTTTCGGCCAGGGAAAGTTCCTTCACCTCCTTCAGGGCATGGAAACTATGATTTCCCAGCTGCTTCAACTGATTACCCTGAAGATGCAAGATGGCCAGATTGTCTGCACCCAGAAATATATTTTTGGGTAGATCCTTGAGGTGATTGTGACCCAGGAACAAACTCATCAGATTGCTGGCACCCTCAAACTGCGGTTTCTCGAACGTTTCCAGCGAACAATTCTCCATGCGCAGCACTTGGAGATCCGGAAAGGTGTCGAACAGCAGATGCGGTATCTTGGCAATGCTCGAGTTCACAAAGGTGAGCATTGTGGTGCCCGTTATGGGCGCTTGCGACAAGATCACATAATCACTGCGCCCGATCACCACATTCGTGCAAATTCCCGCACTGCAATGATCCTGCAGCCAAAGGCGGCGCAATTGTCCGCTGCCAGAGGGCGTGGCAAGCTGGTAGTTGGGCGGTAGGACCAACAAAAGAAGCCACCAGAGTACCGCCATGATTTCACGACCCGAATTCAGGACCCCCGAGTGACGACGATCCTTAAACTCGGGAGCCGCCAACGAAGCGCTCGCCACGGCGCAACTGGCTCAACTGCTTTGACTGCCGACCATTTGATCCAACCATCCACCGATCTGGAGAATTGAAAAAAAAAATCCAAAATCTGATGTTCTATGGCCACCCCAAATGCGGATGCGGGTGCTTCAATTCAATCGCACAAATATAGCAACATTGAAGGGGTGGCTTGCTTGGCAGTTGTTTTTGATTTAATTAAATTAAACCCCTGCTTGGTTTCTTTTCCAAAATATACATCATGCTGAACTTTCAATTTCGTTCTCGTGCGACAAACTATTTCACTATATATACACACTCGTTTTTCTGCACACACTTGTTTTATTGCATTTTATTATTTGGGTTTCGGAGCTGCTGCTTTTTGTATCTGAGCTGACCGCGTCTCACTGATGAAAATGAATGTTTTTTAAAGTAGGAAATGGAAAACAAAAAAGAGACAGGGAATGCACCAATGGTTGAGCGATTATTTTTGGAATTTATTAAGGTATTGCAAAGCAGAATATTACTATAGTTGAAGTTTATATTTATTATATTCTTTCACTATAAATTTTTAACACTTTTAAATTTTTTTATGTCTATCTGACGCCTAGTTGTGGATTAAAATGCTTGACCCAAAATAGTATGTCGATAGCTAAATGTAATAAATCACAAGATACAAGAAAACTGTTAAAAATCTGCCTTTTCTTAGAGATTTCGCTAAACCTAACGGGAGAAACAAATTTTGGATACTTTCGAGAAGTTTATTTTTATTATATTCTTCTTAAAACAAGATTTTTTTAAATTTTTATGTGCCACTGATATAAAAATGTATCTATTAAGTGAAATGCTTGACCCAAAAGACCGGTATGTCAAGACCTAAATGTAATAAATCACAACCTACAAAAGGGTTAAAAATCTGCCCTTTTATAGAGATTGCGCATTGCTAAGCCGCACCCAATGACTGAATGACAAAGATCCCGAGATTAAGCGAACCAGTTTAGCACGCTGACCCATTTTAAACTGGGCAGTTAAAATTGATTACCAACGATATGAAAATAAGTTGATTGAACTTGGCCATTACCAAGAACCTTTCTTCAGATCTCTTATCTTAGTAGAAGACTCTGGTATAAAAGAAGCTGGCAAAAATTAAGAATCAACAGTCGGCTAACATGAATCGCAGAGTGCAAGTATTGGGTGAGAAAGGAGTGGCTTACTAAAATTTCGAAAATAAAGAGTAACTCTTGTTTTCAGTGATCTTGGGACTGATTTGCTGCAGCCAGGCACGTATTCCCAACCTGCGTCGGGTTGTTGGATCTGCTCGAAGTGGCTTAGATGTGGATGTGGAGGAGCCGATTGGCCCTCAAATTCTAATCTATTCACCTGGCGATGCCATGGCTAGATCCGATGACCAGGAGCCCATCTTCCAGGAGCCGCAGATCAGGGAGGAAGTAGCGGAATCCGAACCGGATAAGGACAGTCGTAAAGTGCCCGATTATCTCTACTCAAATGCCATTCCCATGGTCAACGATCAGAATGTGAAGTACGTTGTACCTCAGGTGGCTGCCTATCCCGTGGCCTATGGCCCTCAACTGATCTCCAGCAAGAATGGAATCAACCAAGGAAACCAAGGTAATGGTCTTTCCTACGTGGTTGTCCCACGTGTCCAATTGGGTTTCAATGTTCAAGGTCAGTCGGGTTTCAATTGGCCTGGGCTCAATCTGTTGCCCACAAATCCGGGTAGTGAATCGGCAGCCGCCGAGAAGGAGGAGCCCCAGCCACCCACTACCTACATTCCGATTCCCGTGCCCGGTCCTCCTGGTCCACCCGGTCCACCTGGACCACGTGGACTTACTGGTCCCGCTGGTCCTCGGGGTCCTCGAGGTCCTGCCGGTGAATCGGGCCATATATCAGCTCAGAAACCTCAGAGCATTTGGTACACCCAAACCGGCAGCAGTAATAACAATAATAACAATAAGCCCCAGTACAACCAACCCTTTTCCGGTGGCTATCAAAGTTAAATAAAAAAAATAAATGAAACAAAAAAAAAGGAAACACAAAATATAAATTTAATGGATATTTATTTTTTCAAGTTACAAATTTAAAATTTTTTAATAATTAATTTAATTATTCAAGTCTCTTTCATCAAGAGACCATTTTTGGTCATCTTTAAACTTTTAAACTCTTTGCTCAAAAATAATAATTACTGAAAAACTTGGTTGACTAAGCTGATTTTGGTAATAATTTATTTATTTAAGACAAAATACAAAAACTGTTTATTATTTTATAGAAAAGCAGTACACATTATTAAAATTTAAAACAAGAGTTTTGGTACCCTTTCTTTTATAAGAACTAACTTATAATTTTTTTAAGTTAAGCTAATAATTATATTGGCTGACAGGATGTGGACTACTATCATATCCATTAGGACATCCTCTTATCTATGATTATGGTATTTACTATAAAGTATACATGTGACCGGTGCACTTGTACTCCGAGGAGCACGTCGCTGGCATTATCTGGTGTACTATATCTACGTAAAGTATCTATTGTAACGAGTGTGTCAAACGTTGGTGTTGTGGTCAGGCCATAAAAGGTCTGGCGGAATGCTCGTGTTTGGTGTCAGTTTATGGCACGCTAGCACACATGCAGACGTAAGCACTATGATGATTGTGTGTAGTTTACATGGATTTTAATATCACTTGGCACACCACATCTAGGGGATCATTTTTTTTGGTACGCTCGCCCGTTCGTTTATATTGTTTTTATTTCACTTTTTTTTGGCCCCATTGACGGCGGCACCTGAAACAACGATTGCCATCTCTGTTGCTCATTTGGGAAATGGTAAATGGTGCAGGAACACCCACACAAACAAGCTCAACCCATTTGGATGCCATTTAGTTTTTATTGCTCTTTAGTTGTTCTATCAAAAAAAAAAAAAAGACCCACACATTTGCTTCAATTGATACGCAGCACGCATTTATTTCAATTAAATGAGAATCTTTCATACGTTTAGTGCTTGTCTCGTTCACAGCAGCTGCAGTGTACTGGGGCCACAAAATGATGGATGTCTTGGCAGGAAGTTTCGTTCCCTAACAAAATTTTATAGCATTCTTTAACTTTCTTATCCGTAAATTTTAAATGAAACTCAGACAAAGCTAATGCCAAGACAGCATGACATACAAGATTGTGGCTGACTGTGATGAAAATGGAAAAAGGAAAAAGAAAATTGCCAACACATGTTTGAAGGAAAATATTGCAGTTAACTGAGTGGAAGCTGAATAAAATTTGAATTAAAATGTTTGTTTGTTACTTGGCGACTTGCTCATGACTTGACAACACCTGACTGATTGGGACCACCATTTTTCATCCCAAACGCACATACATCAAAAGGCGGACGACTCCATGCTGATTAAGTTAAAATGTTAATAAATATGATTTTCGTGCTGCGCTGGTTGTTATCATTGCTCTTTGGCTTCTTGCCATTAAAATGATTATGGCAATAAATAATAAAGTGTTGCCGGGGGATGCTTTTGCGTGTCTCAGCAGGAGAATATCCATGGCAAGATATACAACCACTTTGATGTGGCCCAAATGGAAGACACGAGGCGTATGGGTAATAAGACAACTCTCTGTTCAATGATACTTAAATTTTGAATATTTCGGTATCAGTCAAATTTTTTAAACGAATGTGTTTCAAATATTTAACCATTACATTTAAACAACCAAATTCTACTTATGAATACTGCAAAAAAATAAAATTGCTTTAAATAACTTGTTCAAACAACTTGTTCAAAATATTGTAGTAAAAATCAAACTCAGACATTTAAAAAAAAGTATCGAAAAATAATTGGCAAAGGGCACTAATTTAATTTATTAAAAAATCTTTTTAAAATTCTCCACTCGGAAGAGTAGAATCATTAGGCATTTCTGAATTGTGTACAACAAAATATACACGTTCCAAGTGTCTGCCCAATCAATGTAAAAATATCTCCATAAAAAAAAGTATAAAATCATCAATTATAAATATCCGGCTCATATTAAAACTAATATACAGCCGCACCGATCCAAAATCAGTCAATAAAATTCCATCGATAAAAAAATGTAATAAAACAAACAAGCCAGTCATCACCCTCCATCAAATCATCCCGCCAACTAGCCAAGTTTATTAAAAAATTGCTGAAAACTATTTGCCAGAAATAGATATTTCCAGCGAACATAAAATATCCCAGGGAGGTGCTGCTGTGCGGAAAGGGCGGGAACAAACGTTGGCTGTAATTTGCAGGCCAAGTCAGCGAAATGAACACTGGCCGGAACTATGGCGTTTTGCTTGCACAAACTGACAATTTAAACAAAACAGAAATGAAGGGAAATTTATTTTTTAAAAGAACTTGGCCAGAGATAATAGAATAAGGCGGGAGTGGACTTGGCGGGACGGGATGAGCGGCTGCAGCGGAAGCTGCGCCATTTTCATGCCAGCTTGGCACTTGCATATTTCATGAGGCAAAAATTTATAAAGAAGCAAACAGAGCAGCAGTGCGATTCGATCGGGGCAAACACTTAGTGCGCCGCCGAATTCCCTCTAATAATTCGCACACTCGACTATTATTTATTCATTCGCTTTGCATTTGCATCCGTAATGCGGCTCGAACAGATTAATATTTTATGGAAACCGCAGAGTGGAGACACAGGACACAGCCCAAGTGGCTTAAGTGCTAATGAAACTGACTGCTAAATTATTCATTTGTCAACCAAATCAAAATGCTCTTTTTGAACTTTTCGTTCAGCTTCATTAGTGGGATTAGCACTAAAACTGTTTTTTGTTGTTTACTTACATACATTTGCTGTCATTTTATGGCTCATTTTTAGCGTGTTGCTTACCTGCGAGAAGAAAAAAGAAGAAATAATGTAATTAGATAAGTTTTTATTATCGCCTTGAATCAAATTAAAGTTCTAACCGATTGAATAGGGAGTTAAAGTGTGGGAAAAACATTTCGTTTAGATGCAATTAAACCGCACTCTAATGACTTTTAATTAGCGCAGAGATTTGTAAGCACACACAGACACACACTCAGTCCTGCTCTTATCTGCGGCCATGTCCTGTGTTTGCCTTTTCCCCAGCTAAAAGCCAGGTGTGGTTGTATTTTTTTCCTTCCTTGGTCCTTCCATTCCAATGCACAATGACCATAAAAATGGCCCAAAGTGGCGAGCCATTTTAACTGGACTGCCTTGGCAAAGACCAAATCCTTAATTACCATGGCTTACACACATGTAGGCACACGTACAGTTAAGGAAAGGATTATAGCGACACTAATAAAGTTTGAAAGCTGTACATTTTTTTGTTTCACTATTTCTACTTTATAAACGTACAGAGCTGTTAAAAGTTGTCTGTTTTTTTTATTAAAATAAGTGTTGAAAACTTAAACTAGCTTTGTCCCTTATTCAAATCAAAATAGTATATTAAAAAAAAAAAAATTATTAATTATTTAAATAAATGCACAAATGAAATTGAAATACCTGAAGATAACTAAATATTTTTAACTTGGTTGTTTGTATTTTTATTATTGTTATTATTAGTCTTAGAGTGAGAGCCCTATACTATTATTCAAATCTGACATTTTTAACAAAACCTAATATTCCGTCCATATCTGTGCATAGTTAAAGCAGCTTAGCTTGGCTTTCCTGTTCTTTCTCTCTTTCTGCCGCTTTGTTGTTGTCATTATTATTCATAACTTGGCAGACAGTCGCTCTTATTTATGTTCCCATTTGCACAATGGCCAGGACCCTTTCACTCCGCTTTCGCCCCCAAAACCCTCCCCGCACAGTCCTCTAATAGGTGTTAATGTGTTTTATTGTTCTTGGGCAGCCAGGTGGCACACAACCTGCAGGGTCTGTGGAAACAAATGAACTTGACACTGCTGTGCAATGAGACAGAAATCTTAATGGAATTACAGATCTCGAACTTTGTGTAATCGGTTTGGGAACGTACCACTGCGAAGCTAAGGGGGATGAAGGGTATTGCTGTCCTATTTTGGTTCTTTTGGCAAATTTTCATTCATTTTTTCATAGCCTTTGGGTCACATTTTGTCTGTAGTGTAGACAAAAATGATTCTGACAAGTGTCAATCTAATGTCGCACACACACTAAAACTAAGCAAGTGCTTGTCTCTCACTGTTTCTTTCTACTTCTGTTCTTCATCTCTTTCTAATTCAATCCTTCTGTCTCTTTCGCACACACTATATATGTCCCATCCACCTCGGGACCCTTCATATGTGTTAGTGGCAAAAATGCTTTCATTACGGTTGAAGTGGAATGCCGAGTGGGCCACTTGACGTTGAACGCGACTTTGAAGCCGCTGCCGATGGTAAAGCTATGGCAAAAGCTATAGCTAAAGCCAAAGCTGATGCTGATGTGGCCATGAACGAGGGCTGCATCGAGCGTTGAAGAGTGAGAGAGAGGGAGAACGAGTGGAAGAGGCACAGAAACAGTGGCCTGCATGTGCGAAGAGAGCCGAAAAATATGCAACACATTTGCGAAACAGTATTTTACACTTACAGTGTAATGTAAGTTAAATTCTCTTTAAATAAATTTATAATTAATAAAAATAACTATTGAGGCGCATTTATGTTTAAAAACTAAAGTACAAATTGTAAAAAAAAAAATCAAATATAATAACATAACATGAATTTACAAGAAAAATAGTCAAATATTTAAATTGAAAACATATGCGATTATTATAAGGACAAATCGCGGATAGTAATAAAATTGGGCTTTAAAATAGTTATCTAATTGAAAATCTAAAAACTACACAGTTGTTAATAAAACGTACAAATTTGTTTTAAGTTTCTTTATTTATCGAAAAGTTCCATTATATTGAAGATTAAAAAATGTTGCTGCTTAAAGAATTTTCCCTGTATTTCAAGTGCCAAAGTGACTAAGCAAATGTGGCTTAAAAAGCAGGCTAAGGTCAGCGGCAAGTTCAATATACAGGCGACAGCACACACACACATACATACTCACA